TTGGAGGTCCCTTCCCACCCAAACCATCCTGTGGTTCTGTGATCCGCTGTGTGTTTTATTTAGGATGAACTTCACTCCCGGGAGGAAACACGGGGCAGCCAAGCGACCGTCTACAGGTTTTACCAGCACCTGAAGTGCCGGCAGGGCTGGGTGCTGGATCTCATCGACGCGCTGCGCCAGAACAACGCGGGGCACCTGGCCGACGAGCTGCAGGACGTATATGACTCCTGGCAAGCCCGTATGTAGCCTCGTTGTCCCTGGGTGCTACCACGGGGGTCTGATGGAAATGGGGACCTGAACCACGGCTCCTGGTGTCTGCCAAGCAGCTGGCCTCTCTCCCTGCCCCGGCTTCCCAGGGGCTTGGGGGGTGTCTGTGACCGTCCTCAGGGATGTCCCTCACCCCGGTGATGTGCCTGGGGATGGTGGGGTCCTTGTTCGAAGGTGCTTGGGTTGGCGGTGGGTTGGGTTTGTTGCCTGAGGGGAACTGGAAAGGTGATTGAAGGGGTGCTGCAGGCTCGGCCAGCATGGGGATAGAGCAGCAGCACGTGAGGGGCTGCCTCGGCCCCACGCTCGTCCTCTGCCTCCTCGGCTTTTCTCCTGATGTCACCGCTCACGAACCACCTTGGCTTCCTCAGGACCCCCAGCGCGCACCGCTGCCTCCTTCCGCCCCGCGGCCAGCGATGCCCGTCCCGCCGTCTCCTCCGTCGGTGCCCAGATGCCATCCTCAGGGCCGAATCCTGCTCCAGACGCCCCTTTGGCTGAGCAGCGGCACCGAGACCTGCTCGCCGACGGCCGCCCGCCTCTCCTGCCCAGTGCTCCCACCGCCGCCAGCACGGAGCTGGACGCCAGGGCCCCGGTGCAGGAATCGGTAAGCGAGGCCCGTGTCAGAGGGGGACACAAAGGTCCATTTTGGACAGGAGCGTTGGCGCGGTGGGGCCTGGGGAGCCTGTGGTAGCGCCAGGCTGGTTCAGGGACACCCCAAGCAGCCTCTGCTTGCTGATCCCTGCTGCGTGCTTGCTGTGTCTGGCGTCATATAGCCTACATATGGCCCTATAACTGCTCCCCTCTCCTGCTCCCCCTCTGATCTGTTAGTCCAGGCTCCCCTCCACAGCCCCCGATCCCCACTGCGAGCTCCGCGGTGGGTGCTGAGGAGAGACCCCCTCATCGCCAGGCTCACGTAGGTCAGGGTTTGGGGCACTCCGGTGGTCCCAGACCCCCTCATTCTGACACAACAATTTAACACAGCTTATTTCCTTCCAGCTCCCCAAAAACCTCCTGGAGCAAGAGAGTTCCCAGCCACCTCCGCCTGAGAGCCCGGTCCGTGACGGAGCGAGCGATGGGCACGGCAGAGAGGGGCATCTCTCGCATCCCTTCGAGGCCGTGCAGGTGGCAGCGGGGCCCCCCAAGGCAGCCAGCGTGGCCGTGCCATCGGCTGTCCC